GGGTGTCCAGGAGGCAAGGTCCAGGGCGGTCCAGGAGGCAAGGTCCAGGGTGGTCCAGGAGGCAAGGTCCAGGGCGGTCCAGGAGGCAAGGTCCAGGGCGGTCCGGGCTACTTGCCGCTGCAGGCCTTGCAACAGCAGCCCTTTGCGTTTGCAGTGCAGCACAGCATGATCAGGATCAGCAGGGCCAGCCCTGTCGGAGGAGGAGAGTGGAGGATGGAGTAGGGTGAAAACCGTTCTTTCAAGGCTTTTGCCTTTCTTCAGCCGACCGCGATGGAGGGAGACCCAAGTGGGTGGAATGGCTGCCGTGAAGCTTTTCTTGTCTCAAAAATTGCAAGGTTCAGTAAAAATTTCCAAAGGGGACAGCAAAAACTGCAACTGTCTTTGAAAAAATTTGAATATGCCAAACCGAGATTTTAAGAAATGAAATGGAATTATAATAATTTCTCGGAAATGAAACGAAAATCGTCGAATCCGCTTTCCACATATGAACGCTTCAACTTTCCACACACGCACCGGCAATAGAAGGCACCGTGACCTCCCAGAAGAGGCGAGATGCCCTGTCCGTCGACACCTTGGTGATCAGAATGGGTTCGGCGGTGGTTGTCGCCGTCGATGCCCTCCCTGTCAGAGGAATTCATCGTCGTTTGTCAATCTCGTGATTTAAGAAAAAAAATGTGCAAGACTTGAAGTGGTACAATCTCGTGATTTATGATTTGAAATGGATTCATTATGAATATGATATTTGGTTTTCCAAAAAAGCATTTTCCGAATTTAGATAATTGAAGAAAGCACCGACTTAAGTATGCTAAATCCAATCTTCTCATCAGTAAGCTGGCATTCCGCGTTCTCACCGGAAGGAGGGCTGTTGCTTTGGAGATCCCCAAAGAGATAGGTCCCATCCGGCCTCCGGGTGTTGTTGTCGAGCGTGTCCTGGATGATCTTTAGGTTTGCGCTTTCGTTGAATACGAGGTCGAAGTCCGAGATCACGCTGCCCGGTCGGTTGGCCAGGCAGACAACTTTTTGGTAGAGGGATTTTTGGGTGGACCCTGCCAGGGCTCTTTCAGTCTGTGCAGAAAAGTGCAAGTCTTCATGTACCATCTATTTCACTGGTAACTTAAACATATATTAACCTGACTTAAATCTCATATGGAAAAGAAC